GTCAGAAAATCTGAACCCTGCAACATAGAATTCCACAAAATCATGCAAAAATGATAAATCTCAAGACACAGGGTTCAGAATTTCTGACCCCCTTAGAAGCGAAAATACTAAAGTGATTTCTGAAGGCTTTAGGCCCCAATGTTGTAAAAAGGTGTCAGAAAATCTGAACCCTGCAACATAGAATTCAGCAAAATCATGCAAAAAATGTGGATGAATCTCGAGACACAGGGTTCAGAATTTCTGACCCCCTTAGAAGCGAAAATACTAAAGTGATTTCTGAAGGCTTTAGACCCCAATATTGTAAAAAGCTCGGAAAATGTGAACCCTGCAACATAGAATTCAGCAAAATCATTAAAAAAATGCGGATAAATCTCGAGACACAGGGTTCAGAATTTCTGACCCCCTTAGAAGCGAAAATACTAAAGTGATTTCTGAAGGCTTTAGGCCCCAATGTTGTAAAAAGGTGTCAGAAAATCTGAACCCTGCAACATAGAATTCACCAAAATCATTCAAAAAACGAGGATAAATCTCGAGACACAGGGTTCAGAATTCTGACCCCTTAGAAGCGAAAATACTAAAGTGATTTCTGAAGGCTTTAGACCCCAATATTGTAAAAAGGTCGGAAAATGTTAACCCTGCAACATAGAATTCCACAAAATCATGCAAAAATGATAAATCTCAAGACACAGGGTTCAGAATTTCTGACCCCCTTAGAAGCGAAAATACTAAAGTGATTTCTGAAGGCTTTAGGCCCCAATGTTGTAAAAAGGTGTCAGAAAATCTGAACCCTGCAACATAGAATTCACCAAAATCATTCAAAAAACGAGGATAAATCTCGAGACACAGGGTTCAGAATTCTGACCCCCTTAGAAGCGAAAATACTAAAGTGATTTCTGAAGGCTTTAGACCCCAATATTGTAAAAAGGTCGGAAAATGTTAACCCTGCAACATAGAATTCCACAAAATCATGCAAAAATGATAAATCTCAAGACACAGGGTTCAGAATTTCTGACCCCCTTAGAAGCGAAAATACTAAAGTGATTTCTGAAGGCTTTAGGCCCCAATGTTGTAAAAAGGTGTCAGAAAATCTGAACCCTGCAACATAGAATTCAGCAAAATCATGCAAAAAATGTGGATAAATCTCGAGACACAGGGTTCAGAATTTCTGACCCCCTTAGAAGCGAAAATACTAAAGTGATTTCTGAAGGCTTTAGGCCCCAATGTTGTAAAAAGGTGTCAGAAAATCTGAACCCTGCAACATAGAATTCACCAAAATCATTCAAAAAACGAGGATAAATCTCGAGACACAGGGTTCAGAATTCTGACCCCCTTAGAAGCGAAAATACTAAAGTGATTTCTGAAGGCTTTAGACCCCAATATTGTAAAAAGGTCGGAAAATGTTAACCCTGCAACATAGAATTCCACAAAATCATGCAAAAATGATAAATCTCAAGACACAGGGTTCAGAATTTCTGACCCCTTTAGAAGCGAAAATACTAAAGTGATTTCTGAAGGCTTTAGGCCCCAATGTTGTAAAAAGGTGTCAGAAAATCTGAACCCTGCAACATAGAATTCAGCAAAATCATGCAAAAAATGTGGATAAATCTCGAGACACAGGGTTCAGAATTTCTGACCCCCTTAGAAGCGAAAATACTAAAGTGATTTCTGAAGGCTTTAGGCCCCAATGTTGTAAAAAGGTGTCAGAAAATCTGAACCCTGCAACATAGAATTCAGCAAAATCATGCAAAAAATGTGGATAAATCTCGAGACACAGGGTTCAGAATTTCTGACCCCCTTAGAAGCGAAAATACTAAAGTGATTTCTGAAGGCTTTAGGCCCCAATGTTGTAAAAAGGTGTCAGAAAATCTGAACCCCTGCAACATAGAATTCACCAAAATCATTCAAAAAACGAGGATAAATCTCGAGACACAGGGTTCAGAATTCTGACCCCCTTAGAAGCGAAAATACTAAAGTGATTTCTGAAGGCTTTAGACCCCAATATTGTAAAAAGGTCGGAAAATGTTAACCCTGCAACATAGAATTCCACAAAATCATGCAAAAATGATAAATCTCAAGACACAGGGTTCAGAATTTCTGACCCCCTTAGAAGCGAAAATACTAAAGTGATTTCTGAAGGCTTTAGGCCCCAATGTTGTAAAAAGGTGTCAGAAAATCTGAACCCTGCAACATAGAATTCAGCAAAATCATGCAAAAAATGCGGATAAATCTCGAGACACAGGGTTCAGAATTTCTGACCCCCTTAGAAGCGAAAATACTAAAGTGATTTCTGAAGGCTTTAGGCCCCAATGTTGTAAAAAGGTGTCAGAAAATCTGAACCCTGCAACATAGAATTCAGCAAAATCATGCAAAAAATGTGGATAAATCTCGAGACACAGGGTTCAGAATTTCTGACCCCCTTAGAAGCGAAAATACTAAAGTGATTTCTGAAGGCTTTAGGCCCCAATGTTGTAAAAAGGTGTCAGAAAATCTGAACCCTGCAACATAGAATTCACCAAAATCATTCAAAAAACGAGGATAAATCTCGAGACACAGGGTTCAGAATTCTGACCCCCTTAGAAGCGAAAATACTAAAGTGATTTCTGAAGGCTTTAGACCCCAATATTGTAAAAAGGTCGGAAAATGTTAACCCTGCAACATAGAATTCCACAAAATCATGCAAAAATGATAAATCTCAAGACACAGGGTTCAGAATTTCTGACCCCCTTAGAAGCGAAAATACTAAAGTGATTTCTGAAGGCTTTAGGCCCCAATGTTGTAAAAAGGTGTCAGAAAATCTGAACCCTGCAACATAGAATTCAGCAAAATCATGCAAAAAATGTGGATAAATCTCGAGACACAGGGTTCAGAATTTCTGACCCCCTTAGAAGCGAAAATACTAAAGTGATTTCTGAAGGCTTTAGACCCCAATGTTGTAAAAAGGTGTCAGAAAATCTGAACCCTGCAACATAGAATTCACCAAAATCATTCAAAAAACGAGGATAAATCTCGAGACACAGGGTTCAGAATTTCTGACCCCCTTAGAAGCGAAAATACTAAAGTGATTTCTGAAGGCTTTAGGCCCCAATGTTGTAAAAAGGTGTCAGAAAATCTGAACCCTGCAACATAGAATTCCGCAAAATCATGCAAAAAATGCGGATAAATCTCGAGACACAGGGTTCAGAATTTCTGACCCCCTTAGAAGCGAAAATACTAAAGTGATTTCTAGATGTAAAGTGCCGGTCACGGCTGCATAGTTTTGTTTAGCTCTTCGAATTTTTCGATTTTAAACACCTTTAAATATTACTATATCTTATCAAAATTCTGCCTGATGGAGCTTAAGGTGTATTGAAGAAAGTTATGTGGTTATTCCAGAGTATAGTCGTGTATTGTTTTCTATATTCGAGAATTTGTTTCACAGTTGGTAGTTCGTCAATTGGTCGGCCATCTTATGCAACAACAACATATGTGGTGCCAGCGGCGAAAGAATCACAGCCTTTCCAATACTATAATAGTATTTCGAGTATGGGGGATTTATTACGGAGAGTGAGAGGAAGACGGGGTGGTGTTAAAACGAGAGCAGAGGAAGCAAGAAGAAGGTATAATATTCAAGTATGTGTTAATATGCAGCAATCGTATGCAAATCAAAGAATAAGGCGAGGAGTGAATTTTTCAAACTTAATCAATCTAAGCAATGCTAAATCAAGCGGAACGTCGTCCCACGATAAACATTATTTTGTCCCTACTATTATGCTCTCGAATACTATTTCTCTGGCTCTGAAGGTAGTTGAGGTTCAACTTTTTTTTCAACGATATAATGTAGATGTCGGATTTATTACCGAAACTTGGCTAAAAGACAGAATTAATGACAGTGTTATTAATATTTCCGGCTATAACATATTTCGGAAAGACCGTATTGTTCGAGAACACGGCGGAGTTTGTATTTATGCCCGAGAACAGATGAAATATGAAATCCTTGAAAATTTACAATGCTGTAACGATCATGAAATTTTGTGGATTAAGCTCAACCCTACGCGTCTCCCCCGAGGGTTTACCTGCCTTATCATCGCTGTCATTTACCATCCACCTGGTTCAGACTGCCATTCAATTATTAATCATCTATTCCAAAATTTAACACTGGCCGAATCCTTATATCCTAATTGCAGTATTGTTATAGCAGGAGACTTCAATCGTCTGAATGTCGCTAACATCAAACGTCATTTCAAACTCAAACAACTGGTTAAGCTGCCTACAAGGGGACAAGTGACACTTGATAAAATTCTAACGAATATGGCCGAGTTCTTTTCACCAGCCGAGATATACCCACCCTTCGGCCTGTCAGACCATAACACTGTTCTCGTGAGACCAAAGGAAAGAGAAATAGGCCAGTCTTCAAGAAAATTCGTTACAGTTAGAGATACGAGAGCAAGCAACAAGGCCGCACTTGGGCGATATTTAAGTAGCATAGACTGGGCGTCAACTATTAATAGTAAAGACAACTGTACTGGAAAGTTAGATACGTTAACTGACCTAATAAAAATTGGTCTGAATCATATCATGCCAGAGAAAGTGATCAAAGTCCACACCAATGATGCCCCATGGATGTCCACTAAGCTAAAAGATCTAATACGTATGAGACAAGTAGCCTTCTACTCTAACAAGAATAGCATTCAATTCAAGTTTTACCGCAACGCCGTCAACAGAGAAAGGAAATTGTGCAAAGCTAAATATTATGCCTCAAAAGTCCAAGATTTGAAAGGGGCCAATCCCCGTCAGTGGTGGAAAGAAGTTAAAAAAATAAGTGGATCCGTAAATAGCATCAAATTGATGAGCAGTCTTAATGTCCCTGGATATGATAATTTGTCCCACAAGGAAATAGCCGATGCTATTAATGCCTCCCTTCTTGAACCTCTGCAGGAGTACAACCCCCTCGATCCTAGTACTGTCAACTTGCCAGGGGAAGAACTAGATGTGATACCAGAGGTGTCGGTCGAACGCGTTTACACCCACCTATCACGGTTAAACAAGTATAAAGCTCCTGGCCCTGATGGACTATCTAACTGGTTGTTCAAGGAGTATGCTGAGATTTTGGCGGAACCAGTTGCTAATATTTTGAATTCATCTTTTAAGGACCAAAGTCTTCCAAGGGTTTGGAAATTGGCTGACGTATGCCCGCTTCCCAAAGTCAAACGTGTCACGAACCCCCAATCGGAACTTAGACCAATTTCCTTAACCTGTTCTCTATCAAAAGTGGCCGAGGAATTCATTGTAGCTGATTACATTAAACCTGCTGTGACCAAAATAATCGATCCCAATCAATTTGGAACAATCCCAGGTTCTTCAACGGTTATGGCCTTAATTAGCATGGTCCACAAGTGGCTAAAAGAGTCTGACGGCACTGGCTCAACAATTAGAGTTTTGTTATTCGATTATCGGAAAGCTTTCGATTTGATAGACCACTCTACCCTTATTGAGAAACTTCGTCAATTGGACATTCCCAACAGCGTCATCAATTGGATCATGAGTTTTCTATCGGGACGATCTCAGAGGGTTAAACTGGAACGGGACTGTTTCTCAGAGTGGGGAGCCGTACCTGCAGGAGTTCCTCAAGGTACGAAGTTGGGCCCCTGGCTGTTTCTGATAATGATTAACGATCTTACAATTTCTGGAGACCCCTTTGATATGTGGAAATACGTTGACGACACGACTGTATCTGAAGTAATAGCCAAAAATAAAGACTTAAGTGACGCACAATTGGCTGTCGATCAGGTATCTGAATGGTCAAAAAGGAGCATGCTTCAACTTAACTGCAGGAAATGTAAAGAGCTACCTATTACCTTCAGTCGGTCTCGGAATTTGCCATCTCCAGTCAATGTTGAGGGGTCCACCATTATCCCAGTGAGCAAGGTAAAGCTACTCGGCGTAACGATTAACAGCACCCTTACATGGAATGATCATATCGAGGAAATAGTAAAGAAAGCATCTCGCAAGCAGTATTTTCTTGTGCAGCTTAAGAGAGCGAAAGTCCCAGCAAGAGAAATAGTCGCCTATTACTGTGCATGTATCCGTTCTGCAATCGATTACGCATGCCCTGTATTCCACTACTCACTTCCAAAATATCTCCAAGAAGATCTGGAGAGGATCCAGAAAAGAGCACTAGCCTGCATTTACCCAGGAAGGCGTTACGAAGATGCCCTATCACTCGCTGGCCTAGCATCTATACATGATCACCACGAATCTTTATCTAAATCACTCTTTAGGTCAATTGTAAGTGACTCTAAAAACAAACTGCATGCTCTACTACCGCAGAGAAATAACAATGCCAAATATTATTTTAGGAAACGTAGAACTTTTAATATTCCAACTGCAAAGACCTATGCTCAGTCATTCATAATGCATAGTAGTAAGCTTTATGATGACATATAGTGAAATGGTGATTTCAATACTTGTATAAAGTTAGTAGTTTAACTGTACATAATCGTAAATTAAGATAAATTTTAGTATTCTTATGTATTATTATATCTATATTGAACGACGTTTATATAATTGTAAAGTTATGCAATTCAGTAGTACCTGCAATGTAACTATCATTTAATAAAACTATCTATCTCATCTGTAAAAAGGTGTCAGAAAATCTGAACCCTGCAACATAGAATTGCGCAAAATCATGCAAAAATGATAAATCTCGAGACACAGGGTTCAGAATTTCTGACCCCCTTAGAAGCGAAAATACTAAAGTGATTTCTGAAGGCTTTAGGCCCCAATGTTGTAAAAAGGTGTCAGAAAATCTGAACCCTGCAACATAGAATTCCGCAAAATCATGCAAAAAATGCGGATAAATCTCGAGACACAGGGTTCAGAATTTCTGACCCCCTTCGAAGCGAAAATACTAAAGTGATTTCTGAAGGCTTTAGGCCCCAATATTGTAAAAAGGTCTCGGAATATCTGAACCCTGCAACATAGAATTCCGCAAAATCATGCAAAAATGATAAATCTCAAGACACGGGGTTCATGTGCTTGCACTGCAAAGGATGATATCTTCTTTGTTTCCGGGTCATCAGGTGACAGAGCAGCAGTATCATCGTCGATATATCCTTGGTCAAAGTCAATAGGTTCCCATAAATATTTGGGACCATTCCACCATTCAGTTGTTGAGATGACGTCTTCCACGCTCATCCCACAAGAGGCGAAGTCAGCTGGGTTGAACTTTGTATCCATGTTTCCCCACTGACTCGGTGAAGTTAAATCACGGATTTGCTGAACTTGGTTGGAGACAAATACATGAAAACGACGGGCGTCATTCGCAATATACTCCAAGATAACTTTGTTGTCCATCCAGTAGAATACATTCATCTTGTTGTATTCTAGCTCCTTCTGTAGAAAGTCACTAATCTTGGCAGATACCTGTACAGCAGTGAGCTCTAGTCGAAGAATTGTTATAGGTTTAAGTGGGGCAGCTCGAGACTTGGCCATCACTAGGGTACAATAGATTTGGTTTTGATTGTCCACTAGTCTTAAATACGAGCACTGGCCGTATCCATAGGAACAGGTGTCGGAGAAATTACGCAGCTCGACAGTCTTGATCTCGCCAAAGACTTGAGGTTTATAACATCTCCGAAGTTGCTGGGCGTTAAGGAGAGGCAGGGTACGTTGCCACTTTTCCCACCTTGGGAGAAGATTATCTGGAATTTTTTCGTCTAAGCTTGTTCCCTGCTTGCATAATTCTTGGAGTATACTTTTTCCTTGTAGAGAAACGGTGACAGGAGACCAAGGGGATCAAATATGGAACTGACGGCTGAAAGAACTCCACGCCTGGTAGCAGGACATTTGCTCATTTCGTTCTTGAATTGTAAAGTGTCGGATTCAATGCACCATTGCACAACCAAGGCTCTCTCAACTGGGAGTTGTTCGTGGTCCAAGTTGAGGTCTTTAATTCCACTCGCTCTCTCTTCTGGTGGGAACGATTGCAACACTTTCTTGTTGGATACGAGTTTATGCAAACGGAAGCCTCCTCTTTCACACAAACCCTTTGTCTTCGTTATCAAATCGATGGCTTCGCTAGGAGATGGAACTGATTTGAGTCCGTCGTCTACGTAAAAATCATGTCGAACGAAACTTGCGGCCATGTTGCCAAACTCTTACTTATATTTATCAGCGGTCATTTTCAAACCGATATTTGCACATCCTGGTGAGCAGGTGGCACCAAATAAATGCACGGTATTCTGTACTCAACTGGTTCACGATTAACGTCACCATCCGGCCACCAAAGAAAACAAAGTAGATTTCGGTGTTCAGCGTTGACGTGTACTTGGTGAAACATGCTTTCTATATTGCACATAATCGCGGTTCTTTCTTGGCAAAATCTGACCAGGACTCCTACAAGGTTTTGGTTAAATCTGGTCCTTGAAGAAGATGACGATTCAAGGAATCTCCTTTAAACTCAGCGCTAGAATCAAACACCACTCTGATTTTGTCAGGCTTCTTAGGGTGATACACACAGTGGTGTGGCAGGAACCAAACGTCACCATTGTCTTGAATTAGTTCATCATCGGGAACGTGTTCAGCATAACCAGATTTGATAATTCCTTCCATAAATGTCAAATAGTCCTTCTGATAGCTTTGATCGTTCTTAAATCACTCCCTTAACTTGTTAAGTTGGCTCATTGCTTGACTCTTGTTGTTGGGAAGTTTAACTTCTGGATTCTTTAAAGGTAAGGGTATTTCAAAGTGACTGTCATCTCGTTGATGGACCTGTTCTTCTACTCTTTTCATGAACAGCCAGTGATTGTACGACAGTGGGGGGCTGCTTTTATCTTGGTCGTTGAAATCAAACTCAAACATTTTGCCGACTTGGGCAGGTGTTAGAATTTCCTTTACTAGGGTTTTTAACACAAATTGGCAAGTTGTTCTTTCTTTACCACCAATGACTTCACAAGTAACAATGTGGTGTGTTTGAACAGAATCCTTGTCGGTTTCCTCCGGGTTATGCGTCACTGAACCAACAATACCCCAGCCGAGCGCAGTTTGAATACTGTAGGGATTGTTGTCCTTTCCAGGTAAAACTTCGTGAGGTTTTATAGCGTGTGTACAGTAATCCGACCTCTGCATTTTTCTTTAATGGCGTTAGATGACTTGTGATTCTCTTTAAATGCGGCCACGTTACTGCTGTTTCTCTCCTTGGAATTTGATCTTGTCATGCAGGTATGATGTCTCGTGAGTAGGTCCTTGGTAAGGCTATATCTACAGTCTTGTTTACTCCACGAACAACAAGGCCAGTAATCTTCCTACTCTTAATCTTTTTCTGGGCTAAAACTGTAGAAAGTTTGAGTTCTACTTCAGGACCATTAATTCCAAGTGCTTTGAGTGCAGAGTCTTTAATGAAGCAAGCGTCAGACTGGTCATCCAGCAAAGCGTAAGTTAATATCTTCCTACTCGTATCGTTGGAGTGATGGACCCACACTGGTACTATAAGTGAATGAGAAACTGGCTCACCCGTAGCTTTCATATCGAGGACTTCTATACAGTTAGAAGTAGTGTTTTCTTGGGAATTGACTTCTTCATTGGGTTTTGGCACTTCCTTCAGCTTAAGGTTTCCATATGGTTTGCCTTGGTATGGCTTGTCCCTGTGTAATGCCGTAGGGTGTACTTCGCCACATGTATGACAGTTCTTTTTTCGCTGGCACGAATGATTACTGTGACCCCATTTCAAACACCCCCAACAAAGACGTTTCGAAATAATAAATGCTTGTCTATTTGGGATAGAAATCTCCAGGAATTTGACACACGTATCAAGTTCATGTTCTTCCTTACAATAACTGCATCTCGGTTTTGATTTTACGATGTCTTGTTCATCAACTTGCTTGTTCGTCTGTCTACCTCTTTGCTCCTCATTGCTGCCAATAGCAAAACTCCTAGCTCCAATACCACCCGATTTAAGAATCCATTTTTTCTTATCAAGATTGGACGTTTCCTCGCTCTTTAAGGATTGCTGGCTTGTGACGGGATGACAGGCGATTCTTGCTTCAGTTGTCAGGAAACAACAGAACTCTTTGAACGTTGGGTAAGTATTCAAGCTAATGACTGACTCATCACTCTCTTCATCTGGGCCTACTTCAGGATCATCACTTGTGGATTTGTCGACTATTCTGCCCCATCTGTTGACAATATAACTAGGGAGCTTCTTTTGATGCGATTAACATTTGTTTGATGCCGATCGTCGTAATATAGCCACATAAAATGAAACGAAGCCTAAATGTAAACTTTCCAGATTCATTCAATAAACAGTGATATCATGTGTGAATGATTATCGCAATTTTGCATCCTGTCAGTCACGAATTATACTGCTGCAGATCTGCGCATCACTTTTTGTGTTGTTTTTCGAAATATACATCACGCGATCGTTGCCATGACAACGAAAAGTAAGTCAACTTTTAGAATCTCCTTTGATAAATCATATAAAACTTGAATGATAATAATCAAGGCCATACTTATTTTTTTATGATTTTTTGTCTATTTTCGCTAAATACACAAACTGAGACCCAGGCATTAACATACCTGAGATTGACACGGAGGTGGTGCAGTCGAAGAGGTTGGTTCCTTTCTGTGACTTACTTTACTCATCAAATGATGGGTATTCTTGTTTGTATCTGCCATTTAATGTGAAGTAGTGAAATGGCAAATTTTCATCCATCCTCTTGGTGAATTTGCAAAAGTTATGTCCAATATAAAATACTGTACTTATCTTGATCTAATTTTCTTACCTTTTTATGTCCCTAAATTTCGGTGAACAATACAAAAAATTGTTTCCAAATCATCAGTCCCACCAGCCCGTGGATGCTTTGGATAGCCAAATATTGGTGATCTTTCTGCATCTGTATTCCTGACTCACAATGTTACTGGTGATTTCAATGACAGTTTCCCATAAGAAACCTCTTACATTTTCAACAGGCCTAGAACGATAGGAGATCAGAGAACAAATTGTATAAGATAGGGTTCCGAGTAAGGACACTATAACTTCATCAACTTGTCTATTAGAGAAGGATATACTTACTTGTTAATAAAGATAAAGTATGTGTAGCAATTTTTGTACCAAGGCATCCACACTTCCAAAATGTAATTTAACATTTCATGGTTGTATTTACAGTGCTGCAACTGCATAATTCCTCTGTTGCATTGTACCAGTTAATGATAACCTAAAATAACATTGTTTGAACACTAGGTGACTATGGTTTAAATCCAAGGAATAATTGTCTGTCAACCATGTTGTTGTTGGGCCCATAGTGGGACATAGGTGTTAAGGCTTCCTTCAAATTTTCAATAGCAGATCTTCATTCAAACGAATTCCTGCAGCTGTTTAACATTTTCTGCGAGCAGTGCTCGCCTATTTTCTCAACCCCTGATGGTAATAGTTGTAAACTTGCAACGATTTCTACAGCAGTCAAAAGTTTTAATTAAACTAACCTTTACACATTTTGCCTCAGTCTTATACCCCAGTCTTTGCAGTGAATCCACCACATGATACGACAATAGCCATTCACTATCAGCGAAGCTTTGTTTCCTTTCACCTACTAGAGGTACATGGGTTAGACCACTCTTTGGGTCATGAAGAACATCACCATATGCGGCATAATCAAGTGCTTCACAATTCCCATTCCTGGTACTTGATGCTATCCTTTTATATATGTGATTGTGGTCACCACGGTCATGGTGGACATCTGTTGTCACAGGATCAATTTCGGGAATGTACAACTACAAATTGAAATCAGCTCCAACCTTTTTGTATTCTTCAACAAAATGTTGAAATAAAAATGTTCCAACAGGGCAGTGTAAAAATGTCTCAGGAGTATTTCTCACAAATGTACATGGAGTATAGACATAAGTAACAAGTTTATTTTTAATGGAGTATTGCTTCTTTTCTAGTCATGCCATCAATTGTGACAAGATCATGGATTTCCCAAAGATGTGATGGTGGTTATGTATGCATGAGGTGCCTTGCTAACTGGAGTTCCATCAGAAAGAACTGAAATGATACCACAATGAACACTTATCTTGAAAACCATTGTCTCCTACGAGTTTACATACAGTACATATAGATATTAAAACCTTTATTCAAGCAGGATAGCACAAAAATGCATTACCCCTGTCAATAGGGGCCTTGCGTTAACATTTGCCATAGGAGAACAAATTGCTGTGGATTGTTGAGGCAATGACTGCAATGTTATGCCATAGTGTAATTTTCTAGGTGTAACAACTTTCTTCAAAAAACACTAAAAAAATACGTAAATTATCAATATTCCAAAGTAACGCTAGAATTATTTCTTGTTACTCTCAATTTCAATTTACTTTTGAAATCTGATTTCAAATGTTTGTTTTTAAATTGCATAAGTTTGGAATATTTGTTGCAAGATTCAAAAGTTTGTCCTTGAATTTGTTCCGGCAATGATTTATGATGATGAAGGTTTGTAAGTTGAATCGTCATAAATCATCGGAACAAATTTTGTAACTTTGCAACAAAGATACTCAACTTACACAAACATTCAAATGCACATTTCAAAATAAAATAGAAATGGAGAGTATAGTTATTTGTCCTTTTCTCAATGGAAATTATGATCACCTCTACATGACTGACTGCTGCCTGTGCCGTCTTAAATATGTTTCTTGTGTATGCCTTGATATTGGAAGCATTATCTTTTAACATTGCTTTACAGGACTTGAAGTTGCCTTTGTCGCAGCATACTGCCAACTCATGAATTCCTTTTTCACAAGTTGATTTAATTGCTTGAGCATCTTGAAGGAGGGTCTGATATTCAACAACGTCCCAATTGCAGTCTTTCAAGGTTTTCACTGTGGTGTTGGCTTTAAACTTGTCCACGGTTAATAGAACTAGACTGGTTAGGCTAGCTGGCAAACTTCAAAGGGGCACGAAAATTATGTTTGGGAAACGCAAAAACAGAAGTCAGATGGAACAGAGCCTGTATTGTGTCAGGAGCGTTGATAGAGAAATAATAGCAATAACAGCGGGTGATTGCTATTAATCGTATTTTGTTGCATCATTTTGAGCTTTATTTTGAAATTTTATTTCTATTGATGACGATCTGTATTATTTTGATCAAATGGAAGAGATTTCAACCGCCAAGGATGACAAAATTGAAGAACATGATGGTGAACATGATGGTGAACATGGCCTTGTCACCGACCTTGACGAAGCTGGTACTAGTGGCAGCCAATTCGCCTTTTCGACTCTAAAGACACTTGTAGCAACACGTGACCAAAAAATGTAAACAAATGCCAAAAGTTCAGACAAGCTTAATTGTTTGAACATACAATCAATTGTATGTTCGAACAAAAGCTTGTCTGGTTTTTTCGATGAATATCAGCTGTATCTCATTATAGACATAACAGAAATCAAGGGAGAAGAAATAGAGAACGAATTTAATGATGCACTGATTGAAAGCGAAGGTATGAAGTCGTTTCCATGTTCGCAGTGCGAGAATGTTTGCAAGTCAAAGGGAGGCCTTACCAGACATACAAACGCGAAACACAACACGCTTGTATCCGCTCAGAATTCCCCCCTGAATATTTTTCTCAGAAAACAGTCGCTCATATGGTTGAGACAACAAAGAGCAAAATTATCAAAGAGAAATTATATGGGACAGGAATAAACGAGCTTGTAAAGAATTTGTCTGGCACAAAAGCTTTGTACAATGCTGTTTATTCAATTTTGGAAAAATTTTGGCGAGAGAGTAACCAAGACCAACTGTCATTCTTTGGTTTTAGAAGAAGATACAACTTCCCAGATGACCAGTATTAGTGGAATCAATCCTGCTAGCATGGTCCTTTAACTTATGTTGCTGTATATGTAGTTGCAAAACTGTTTCAAACAAGTAAAATGGCCAAAAAGCCTAATGAGGAACTACAATCTCTGCTGCAGAGCATGAGATCACTAGACCAGTCAAGCTACATCTCAGCTTGCACCAGGGGTGGACTGGTGAATCCATCGAAAGATTTAGTTGGAATTTTGGAACAAGCTGAGTATGAATTCCAACAACAAGTGAGACAAGTGAGTGAGGAAAAATCGACTTTGAGAAACATCCCAATTGATTAAATATGTAATGCCACGTTGAAACACCCACTCCATGGGTTAAAAAGAGTATACTGAAGCACGTTCGTATGGGGTATTTTATGGGGTGTTTTTTTTGCACTCCAAAAAATATTTTGCACTCCCCCAAACATTTTCCCACCCCACCTCGAAAAATTAAGTGCTCATTGAGATAAATGACAGCAGTGTGATTGAAATAAAGATTTTGAAGTTTCTGCTGGTTTATCCTCGTACACCCATTGGCAACTGCACCCCCACAGCTACACACCCTAACCCTAATACTAAACCTAACCCTAACCCCAACCTAACCCTAACCTAAACCCTAACCTAACCCTAACTTATTTTAAAAATAGAATAAAAACGGAAATCTTATTTTGAAGTATACTATCTACCAATTGCCCTTGATCAAATTCCCTGACTCAAGTTAAGTCTAGCTATTGACTCGACTCGACTTAAACCAATGACTCTACTTGACTCGAGTGAAGTCACTGACTCGACTCGAGTGAAGTCACTGACTCGACTCGATCAGAAACTGAAATGACTCGACTCGTGACTCAACCTTTGAGTGACTCGACCTATAGGTGACTCGTTACAACACTGCTGGCAGGTCTTCGATAAGTGGGGTTTTAAAAGCCGATGTTGGCTGGTCATACAAGCAAATAGGTCAAATAGCTCGTGAAACAGAAAGGCCGGATGTCATGGAAAAATTGGAAAATTACATCGTAGACATTTCAGGAATAGATTGTAACCAATTACATTTCTTTGATGAATCGTCGGTAGTTGTAACGAGCGGAAAGAGACGTCGTGGGCACAGTGCAATAGGCACTCCAGCAATCGAAGTACAACGATATGCTTCGAATGCCACATATACTGTGAATCTGCTACATAACATCCGTGGAGTATCTCATTTCAATATTCTAAGAGGCCCATCAAACGGTTTGGAATTGCTAAACTTCTTCGAAGAAGCTCTCGAGCAAGAAAACGTATTTGAAAACCCTGTTATAAAAGAACATGATATGTTTGCGATGTTACTCTGAGTGCATATCCACACCGGGCGAGCTTGAAAAATATGCCCGGCCATGGTGGGATTCGAACCTACAACCTTTGGAATACTAGCCCAATGCTCTTCCAACTGAGCTACGCGGTCAGGACCTTTGGAATACTAGCCCAATGCTCTTCCAACTGAGCTACGGGGTCAGGACAGTAACATCGCAAACATATTATTCACAACACCAACACAGAAATAAAATTCAAAGAACATGATGTTATAATAATGGATAACTGCGGTTTTCATCATGGCAATAACGTAGAACTGCCTTTACGAGATATGCTACAACAGAGACATGTTCAGTTGTTTTATCAACCACCTTACCATCCATGTTATAATATGTGTAAAGCATGTTTCAATCACATAAAGACCACACTGCGTCGCTATTCAAGATACACTGAGAAATATACGGAGTTGTGCATTTCTGATGCAATAGGAATGATAAATGAGGGTCTGTCAAGACAGTTCTTCAAGTTTTGTGGCTACATATAACAATTTTTCGTGGCAGTATATATATATCTAATCAGTATTAAAGATATATTGTAAATATTATTTAAAAATTATAAAGTAAGGCATGCCCAGTGTGTTTTTTTTTAGAGGTACTCTGTGTCAGCAAATTTATTCTAATTTATATTATATGCAGGGGAGCAGAAAGGTAAGAAAAATGCATTTGCCGAACAGCCAAATACTCTATTATCATTACGACTACACGTAATTCCATACAAAATTCCCATGTAACAAATCTTTGTTAACTTAAAATTTATAGTTTGACCTTGGTTCAAGTCAAATTTCTGAACCTGACCTTTCGTAGCAAAAAACATTCTTTTAGCGCAAAAATCTGTTATTTGTATCATATGGATGGGTGCGCATGGATAATTCTATTGAATGATGTAGGTTTTATTGCTTTCACCGTGAACAAAATTTCCATATAACAAAACTTTGTTTACCCCCTCAAATCATCCATGTTCAACCCTCTCCACCAGAGAAAAAAGAGAATTTGTCGAGAACAACTTTTCCTAGTGTGGACTCAGGCTGTTTTGCTTTGAACTTCGCAATTTCTGCACATTCGCATGTAAATTGACAGCATTTTTTTAACCTTAATTTTTCATATACCATGCAATCAACGAACTAACCAAACTACATAAATGCACAACAACCTATTTATTACGATACCATCCAAAAAAAACGAGGTACACTATACCAGCAATGAATACCGCCAATATATCAATTACAACAATAAAATACATAATTTTTTTAAATAAATTCTGCAATCCGATGCGCGCCAATATAGTACTTATGTAAATCTGATGATACAAAACACAAATGCAAAACTTAACCAATACGAACTCAACTTGTAGTATTACATGTATAACCACAGTAGAAGTATGTACAGCTGCAACGTCAGCTGTAACTTTGGCAGGTTCTTCGGAATAACTTACTGAGGACTTACTTTTGCCCGATTGTTTATTCTTACAGCTTTTTTTTTACGTTTTTCGCTCAACCTACTAGCGAACATGTTTCACTTCCTCTTGTGCTTGAAAAGAGATTTGCTGTGACTTATTGTCAAGTGATCACCAATGAGCTCCATATATAATACGGAACAACCAAACTCAAGGCCAACATTTTAGTTAAAGGACCACAAAGAGGGCATGAAGAGGGGGCTGCAGGGGGAAGGCATTTTGCCCTGGGTCCCCCCATTCGAAAAAGAGCCCCCAAATGTGATGAAAAGCTTTGAAATATCTTGATTCAAGATTGCTTAACAGAGAATATAAATCCTAGCTGCATCAGTGCCTGACAAAATAAAGTATAAATATTGCAAAACACTGTTTCTCCATTTTACAATTATGATAGAGTGCCCCTAGGAAATTTTGAAAATATTCGTACTGTTTGGAATTCGTAGTGACTTCACTTTGCAGTTCATGAGTACAGCTCAATAATTCTTGTATGTTACTGTTTTCAGACTTCTACAATAGACAATTGTTACATAATAAATTAGATCAGGTAGCTCAAGTTGACACCTGAGTAGGCATCTTGTTACTGTCAAGTGTGACCCTCATGAAATAAATTTTTAATAATAATAATAATAACAATGATTGTAATGTATTGCTTTTTTCAGATTGTTGTACCTAAAGACTACCAGTTATGCCATGAGACAAAACAATTGCAACTGAATTTAATACTTAGAACTAGGCAGTTTACGCCGGAATTGAAAAAACGGATTGAGAAAAACAACTATGTTTGTGAGCATTCAGGCTTAAAATGACTTTTAAGCCTGAATGCATTATAGAATGTAAGTATTTCTGTTGAATTTTGTGCATGTTATTAATCACTATTATTAGAACAAAGGGCTATTCATGAATATTAAAATTGACTTTTAACAGGATTCCAAATGGAAAATTTTGGTTACTGGTAGCATTCCAATGGAGAATTTACCAACGAAGAGCCATGATGTTATGAGTAAAAAGGAGCGCAGAACTTTGGTGAGATCACGCATTGTACAATGTGTTGCCAGCTGAAATAATAAGTATTCAAGATCTTCATATGCAGCTTGACAAAATTGATATTCTGCCATGGACAGTGAATGATATTGATTCAGATCATGAAACCTTGAAATTAGAATTTTACGATGGAGCCCATGGCATTGCAAAATTCACAGTTACAGTCAAAGCAGGGCTAGATTTCACTGTCTTTGTTTATCATTGGCCTATCCCTGATAACCATCGTTATATTTACACTCAGGACAAGAGATTACTCAATAGTATAGAATGTGTTAACAGATTTCTTAACTCAATTGACAATTCCAACCTTTGTAATGGAGTGCCAAAAGAATTTAATTCTGTTGCTGTGGATCCTACATGGGATTAAAAGCTAGTGAGGTATTCAAACTCCACAGTTATTCGCCATTCAACTCCAAGATTGTTAAGTGAAGACCACTTTCAGTCCACGATAACCCTTCGAAATCCTGACTGTCAAGTTATTATGGATGATGCTAAGCCTGAAAAGGAACTGTGCAATCCATGCTCCCTTACCACCAAGAATTTGAAGAAAGCAGCCTTGAGAAAGAGGAAAGTATCCACAGCTCCAGCAAAACCTAAAGCCCCCTTTTCAGCTTGTCGATCGGAGAAATTGATTGCAACTGTTAAAGCATCAAGACTAGCATACAAGCAACTGGAAGATCAATTGGAACAGCTCAAAGCCCATATTAAGAAACATGGAGTGGGTGTTAGTGATTCTTTGGAAAGGATATTCTAAAGATAATAAAGCCACACCCCACATGAACTTTTCTGGGAGCAGCAAATGAAGCTTTTGCAAGCAGAGAAAATGGGACGGAGATATCACCCCCAAATAATTCGTTTTGCTTTGTCTTTGCATGGAAAGTCACCAGCTGCCTATAATGAATTAAGAGACAGTGGAGCTCTTATTCTCCCAAGTGAACGAGTAATCAGGGACTAAAAACTATTTTAAAGCAAAGGCTGGTATAAATATAGACAATATTGAATCCCTAAGAGAAAAAGCTTCATCATTATCACAAGTTCAACGGTATGTGGTAATAGTGATAGATGAAAGGAAAATCCAATCGAATCTTGTGTTTGACAAGTACTTGGGTGACCTGATCGGATTTGTGGATCTTGGAGATCCAGTGACGAATTATGCTAGTCTGGGCGAGGAAGATGTCATGGCAACTCATGCACTAGCATTCTTGGTAAGAGGAATGTGCAGTGACTTCAGGCATGTCATTGCATATTATTTTACTGAGAATGTAACATCCTACCAGTTGATGTCAATCTTCTGGAAAGTGGTTGGTGCGCTTGAGTTGTTGTTGAAGCTTCCAGTATGTGCAACCGTCAACGATGGAGCTTCACCTAATTGCAAGTTCTTCGACCTGCCAGTCGACCTTCGACCTACCAATTTCCAGTTGGTACGTGACCTCAATTGTGATGTGGTGCATAAGGTTCCAAACCTTATTGCTGTACAACGGTTTATCTTCTTCTTTGCTGATTCCTGCCATTTGATCAAGACTGCTCGCAATTGCTTGTACAACTCTGGCTCAGGATCCTGCAGTCGTCTTATGTGGAACAATGGCAATTACTTGATGTTCAAGCACATTGCAGACCTGTTCTACAGTTATCAAGAGTTTGCTCTGCATACTTTACCAAAGTTATCACTGGACCACATTGTTCTTACTTCGTACAGTAAAATGAAGGTATGTCTATGTAACTTTATTTCAGGAAGTTCTAAAAAAAACGTTGGATATTTGTTCACCTGACAAGGGGGATGCAAATTTCCCAGGGGGTAATCTGTTCGCCACCATTAGGGACTTCAATATGACTGAGAACATTTAGGTCATAAATTTAACGGAAACAGTACTTGCGATGATCAGTGCCATTGTTTTTCTTTGTATAGCTTGTAAGTCTTATGTAATGTTGTTTCATGTTGAAAAAAGTCTCAGGGGGGTGGAAGAAAAATCAGGGGTGTGCACCCCCAGAAAATTTGTCTATGAAAAACCACCTAACTTTTTTCAGGATGTCAAATATTAGTAGAATCTATTTGCAAATTTCTCTTGTTAACCCATTTAGTGGCAGCACTCTCCCCTGATGAGTAAATTTGTCTGGCATTAGACAGAGTAAACTAATAAAGTAGGGCGCATTGCCCCTTGAAGGGTTAACCCATTAACAAACAATGCACCCTTCTTCACTCTTTTACTTTTTCTAATCCTGAAAGATTTTACTTGTCCATAAGAGAATCTTGCCAGTTATTGGGTTAATATATGTTACTGTATGTTAAAGGTCAAGCTGGCTACACAAGTCCTGAGCAAGTCTGTGGCAATAGCACTGGAAGAATCCGAGAATGATGAGGTTCTTGGTACTGCTAAATTCTGCTGGATGATCAATGATTTCTTTGATTGTACGAATGTAAGGTCTTTGACCAAGCATGAGAAAAAAGAAACCCACTCATCAAACCATACCACATACCAAGATGATGAAAGATTTTCCTGGCTAAAGGATGTTTTCCTCAATTATCTCGAGACATGGAAGCAGAGTACCATTACATGAGAAGGAAACTACTCAGCCGACAACAGAGGAAAGATGTTTCTCTCACTTCAGACTTACAAAGGTTTGAAAATTTCTGTTTATTCACATATTGAGGCCATTCAGTTTTTATTATCTGAGGGGTTTCATTATGTACTAAATGAAAGATTTATGCAAATGTCCTAAAAGACTAACTTTGGACATCAATGGGCTAAAGGTGGCCGCTTGGACAACCCAACTGCTCAGCGATTCGGCTATAACGATTTGACAATAGCCGCCCAGAGAAATATCGCTCCAGTTTTAAGAGGCAATGTGGGAGGTCGATACAAAAAGCAAAATGTAGTCAGTGATGTACCAGTTAAAAAAAGAAAAAAAGACAAGAAACCAATAATTAGCTGCAACACCTGTTAGTTGTACAGTATTTATAGTACATTGATGATTTGACTTGCAGTAACATTGGTTAATTAAAATTTGAACATTTGGTTTGAGTAGTATCATTTCCATAAATAGAAAAGCCTGGAAAAGTCTTATCAGATGTGTATGCATGGAAATTCTACAAGGTTTAGTAATCAATCAAACTTACTGTATTCAACCTTCTCATATTAGTCAAGTTTGGAACATATTTAGTGAACCAATCTGAATGTTGAATAAACAATTGGATTTGTTACTGTACCTTGCAAAACTATTCAGAGTAATTCTGTTCTGAGCATGTAAAATAATTTTAGCATATTATAATTGGGATAAGTAAATGGTAGCAATATATAGGTGCACTGTGAAACTTATTTTCACGGATTTTCATATTTTACTTGGGGGGGGGGTTAGGGGGGGGTTAGGGACAGGGTTTAGTTTTGCGTTAGGATAGTTTTTTCTACGTTATAAAAACGGAAACCTTATTTTGAAGTATACTATCTAGCAATCACCTTTGATCAAGTCCACCCACATCCTTGTCCCCAGGGCCTCTCGGCCACGCGCGTGCTCCCTAGGCCCTGGAACATACGGAACAGGAAGTGCAAGTAAACTTGCAGTAGTTTCTAAAGCGCATGGTCTTGAATTGGGACACTTTAGCACCCGTAACAATTTTCAAAGCGAAGTATTTCGAAGAAACGAAGTATTTGCGTTAATATATGTTGATAGAATAATTTTTCCTAGCTAAATCTGCTCAACTTCTTTTGCGAAATAGGATTTCTCTGAGAAGCCAATCAGATCTCTCGCTTTAGTCGCCTAACCCACAGCCTAATTTTCAACGAGTGACTGAGTGAAAATGGCTCTAGGGACGAGAATGGTCCACCTCACGCTTTTTGTAATGGTTCGCTACCTTAGCTTGCAGTTTGAAATTAGTAATCAAATGTACGTTTTAAGCTGATCACTTTAGTCATGTAATAACAGTATCTGGGCAGCCATAGGCTGTACCAATATCACAGTTCAAGTCAATATTAAGTACAACCACATGAGATGTCTCATGCCTGCTGATCGAGTGTACGTATATACAACTAGCATAATTTGCAACTGGAGTCAGAATTAACAAAGCATAGACTTTAATGAATCATGCTTTGTAAGTTAATTTGAAATTATATAGCACTTCATAAATACCAAAAATGAAGATCGCCGGTCAGAATTAGCATAAGTACAAAAAATTTTGAGACTCCATTTTAAAAACTGTGGCACTAGCGTTGTTTCTAAAAACAGAAATGTAATATATGCATGCCTGTCAGGAATATACTGTATTCTATGCAAATCCCATATATTTTCTGATAAAGTTTCGAAGTTCTCATTGTTCACATGGCTCATTGTTCTTTCCAAGCAATACAATCACAATATTTTTGATGAATTTATTCTCTACAAGTTGTAGCTGAGTTGACTCGAGTCATTTACGGCAAAATCAGCAAGTCGAGTCCGAGTCGAGTCATTTTTCGTTCTGGACTCGAGTCGAGTCGTTGAAAATAGCAACTCGAGTCGACTCGAGTCCGAGTCAATGACTCGACTTGTTAAAACACTGCCTGCGAGGCACGTTTTCTGGTAGGCACACGTTGTTACTTTGCAATTCTTGTTGTATTTCTTTTCCATATATTGACGGCTTATTAGTTTTCAACTATTCGATGTACATTATAACGTCATCCGTACGTGCGGTCCTACTTGCCTCACGATGTGGCTGGCAAGGTTCAATGTCTCCATTGTCTACCCAGAGATCTACAATATTACTAACCGTTTTGTACGGTAGGTTTAATCGTTGTGATATGTTTGCTATACCCTCATTATTCAACCACTTCCCAACTATGCTGTTTCTAACTTCGATAGGTAATGCTTTCATTTCAGTACTTGAGTACTTTAGTTCAGTACTTCCGTACTTTATTCGGGTACTTCAGTACTTAATTCACCAACATGCAAATTTGGCTTTGCAAGTTCTCACGCAATATTCCAAATTTGGTAATGTAATTAGGAATATTCAAAACAAACTTGGGAATCGCGCTTTGAAAAGTGACCTGAAATCGACTGTAATTCAGATGGCTTGTCACAAGTAATCCCAGTACTGCTTTTGCCATGTTTCTGGTGCTGAATGATTGTGTTGTAATGTCCAACTAAAAAGTATGAAAGTTGAATCATGATTAAATTGGCAACCTTGAAGTCATTACAATATAATAATTCGCATGATTGTGGAATGAAACCATAAAACACTTTCAACAAAATGTCTTGATTTTTCATTCGACAAAATGTCTGATAAATAGGCAGGAAAGCTTGGTATAATTTTGGTGTTGAAGTTACTTTTTGCAATCCTGAGTTTGTCTCCGCGTAAAGATTTTCTTCAATAATCCGAAATTTAATTGCTTAGACAAAACCATCTACCACTTTGATCAAGTGCTAAACCTGGAATATTATCATGACCTTTCGTTGTTTTAGCATGCTCTGAATTCTGGTGTCTTGTCAGCCCTCCCTTTGATTTGCAAACCTTCAAACAAATGTTACAATTAAATGATTTCTTGCCGTCTATTTTAAACAAAGCATCGTTGAATACATCATCCGCTTCTACTCTTTGTGTTTAGGCTATAAATACACTCATATCAAGCTTGTAGACGTCCTCAACAAGTAAACTTTCATCTGTGTCAAGCATGCTGTCAATTCCCAACTCGTCCGCTTCTTTTTCTCTTTCAAATCAACATTTATCACTTGAGATTGAAACAATTCCCCCTAAGTTTTCTCCTCATGTGAGTCGGGTTCCATGGCTTCTGATGTTAGATTATGTACAGAGTAGGGCTGCTCGGTATGGTATGGAACAAAGACTGTTCTTCAAATGCAATCCTTTCCACAGTACCTTAAGTTCCGAGATGGCAGGCTTTAGAAACTCATTCAAAGACTTTGGTTCCAACTTCATGTTAGGAATTATTCCAATCACAATAACATTTTCCCATTTAAACAATTCAGACCTGGGAAAGTTCAGTAAGACCAAATACAACACCCTGACAGAATAGTATTTTCTGTGCTTCATTGGTTGGAAAAAATCAAAGTTAAAGCATTAGGCCGTAGTTTCTGGGGGAATTTAGGAAGTCCTTTCCTTCAATTGTTTGAAAATCCTTCCATAATTTTCCGTCATAGATGTTGTCATACAGTCAGTATTTCAAGCCTCTCTCCATTCTTCGCAATTTTTGGTTATTCCCTTTTTCCCTAAGATTTCTTCCAGAGGATTGATAATTCCCTTGTAACAATGGTAATAAATCGGATAATACTTAGTTTCATTACCCTTTAAAATGACTTTCTTTACAAGATTGGAATTGCATTTTCCTCTCGAGAGAGGAAGACATTTTTGAGCAACGTTTTGCAACTGTTCTCCCATTTTTCTCCTTTAAACACTCATGGTAGTGGTAGCATTTGGTGCATTTAGGACAAACAACATATTTTGTAAAGTTATCGCTATTTATGCCGAGATATTTCCTGACCATATACAATGAGCATGGGAATATAGCTATGAGCTCTACAAGAATTTAATCAGGAATATAGATATTCAGTGCTTGTAAAAAATGAAAAATCGATTGCAAAAGCCAGGTAAGACCATTGTCACTTAGGTGTGTTATACTTTGCCAGATCAAAAGGAAATATAACATCCACTGCAAAAGGGCATGCACCTTGTGGAGCTTGTTTTGCTTGGTATCTGGTTCGGGGTTTTGCTGGAGGGGTGGAGATATCTTCATCCTATTGATCACATGATGTATCCTTCCAAAACTCACTATTTATCCAAATTCGGAATCACTTTGGGTATGAGAGTAGTACTTTTCATCCAGGTCACTATCCAAGTTAACGCCCCTTTCCGGTTGCGTTTATCTGAAAATATTAATAATAATGATAGTAATAATATTAATAATGATGTTTTAGGTTTGATAGAACATGTCATGCAAGTTTTTAAATGGCTTTGAAAACGACCCATCTTCTTATGAGTTCATTGGCAAAGTAATTTTAAAAATCAACATGTTCTCTCTTGGTAGAGACCCTGATATTGGCTGGTCACGTGACCTGTTATATTTTGGCAGATTTGCCAATAAGTAAATATTATAGTCAACATTAACATTATTAAAATAACATTACAAAACAAAACATATCAGTTACTATCCTTTAGCAAAGCCGCCAAAGTATGACGGGTCACACGATCCCTCCAACACCAGGTTGTTCTAAACTGAGAAAATCAAAGCTAAAATTTATGGAAAATAACAGCATTCTTTATCACATATATAACCACCGACATTTTTCCTGGATTATTAATATGTTTTTGGAATATATTTCAGTGTCAATTTGTTTAGCTCAATTATGTACAACTAATTGAGGATGCTATTTATATATAATTAAAGGCTGTTCTAAATGTTGCATTATATATGTGTTGAATGATTTAAAACAATGGATGATGAGGCATTTCAGCTGATTATCTATTGTTTTGAATGCATTCAGCACATGTAAAATGCGACGTTTAGAACAGGCCATTACAGCATTTATTTACTTTACATTGAATTACAATATTAATAAAATACAAGAAAAAAATATCT